GAATCATTCACAAAATCAATACATTTCACATATTAATGGCATACGCTCACTGGTTATAGACTATTGAGAATTGCACTTTGATGAAACGACGTTTACAATTGAATTAAAACAAAATGTTGATTAATATTTCAACAATACGATCAAATTAATTAAAACAATATGATTTTAAAAAATAACCTCAAGTGAAGTTCCGTTTGTTCACTCGAAATATTAATCAACATATTGAAGTGAACAAACAATTATGATACTAACTGAACACTTTGGATAATTTTCAGTGAGTATTCCCAATATTCATGATTGACAAAATTTTCAAAACATGAATTTTCACTTATTGCTTCCATCAACTCATTAACAACTACTAAAAAAAACCGCTAGATTGAAAATAAATCAATGGATCATGTATAACTCCTATTCATAAACGCATGTTTACCTCGAAGGGAGATTACGAAACTCTGAAAACTGAATACAGGATAATGGTTAAAAATCATTTCGAATCGAATCGTGTCAACAATAACAAACCAAAAAAAAGAACTTATCAACTGTTGACATTTGATAAAATCCAAGAGTACAACACGGAATCAAAATTGAAACTAACTGAACAGGAAACCATTTGAAATGAAAACAATTACTAGACATTATTCACTCCAAGGAATTCGACAACACGTTCGTACAGTTCTGGATCATCGTGTTGCAGTTGCGACTTTACTTCATCGACACTCATCAGTTTTCGAATCAAATCACTGTGGATACACTTCGACTGAATACTTGCGTCTGCCTTCTGCTGCAAATATTGATACTTCACGATGCTTCATCTATTTACAACCGTCCATATCAAAGTTTTTCGATCACGAGACAGGAATATTGAACAAACCATGTATTACCCACTACAAACACTGCTCATTTAAATGCTCATTACCACCGTCAAACGAACGCATCAAGCTGCTAAAACAACAACGTTCAAGATGACTAGTCAACCGATTATGAGAATCGAACATAACAACGGCAAGTTGAAGAGGCCCGATGTATTAAGAGATGCCCAATTTATATTGTCAAAACCCTCCTAAAACTTATCAATCCCAGAATAAAATTGAAGAATATAAAAAGAGTAAACGATTGACACCATATTTGTGATGATCCAAAAAGATGCGTACGAACACAATCCTTTAATGAAACACCAACCTCAAGTCGATTTTCATCGTTTACTTGAATTGCATCATTACGAGTGTGCTCACTTCCTTGATCAATCATCGAATTTGTATCACCCGTTAGGGTTTCCAGTCGTTTCTTCATCGACTCCAGCTCATCTCCTTCAGGAACGTACGCATAACCAGCACTCACCGGAAAGCTCCTCAGTGGCGATATTGACTGGTTCGCACACACCTTCAATTTTGCATCTAGTTCATGGTGAATGTCACCGATTCAAATGATAAAAATAACGTCTCCTCAACATACCACAATGATTTCGGCTTCTTTCAGTTTCTTCATCGGGATCGCGTGTGCAAAATCTGGTGGTCTGGCGCAAACAAAACCTTCGTTCTCACCGAAGAGCTCTATTAAGCAGAGATTCTTGTCCATAAAACCTGAAAAGCGCCCCTGAAACAATCAATGTACCACCCATCAATAATAACAAAGTTCACTAAATTCAAAAGGTTGATTTATGAAACTCTGCAATTGCAAACGAATACATAATTTTCCGATAACTGATGAAAAAATTGTCGAAAATTAATGAAAAAACTAACGAAACGATTCGAAACAAAATAAAAATTGCAGATTTTTGGTCAAAAAAAATTTGCAAAATGCGATCAAAGAATAATTCTGTCAAAATAAAATAAATTTCAAAAGAAAAAAGATACAACCGAAAATCTCACCAGACACTCTCGGATGCCCAGATCGGTTTTCAGCTCATCACTGGTCGCAAGCGCTTTCGCTGACCAAAAGCAGAAAGCATTCTTGTCAGATGGGTCACAACTCTGTACGGATGCATCCAGTATCATCTTCGATTTCAAATCCATTTTTTTGCGAACTGTAACACACCACCATACAACAGACTATTCGTAACACACTTACTATGGATCGACCATGGTAATCCTGAGTAGAGGATAACATTGAGTTGCTTTTGTTCATTACAATCACCACTGCTAACAAATTATAACAATCAAGCACACACTGAATTTCACTCACAAACAAATGTACGTTCAAAATCCTGAGGTCTATTTGAATTCTCTTGTGGACATTGGTAATACTAATCTTTCAGCAATACTGAATGACATTTGTAACGCACTGAAACATTCCGAAATGATTCCATTCCTCCGTGAACGAACTAACATTTTTTATCGATGAAAACACGTCCAATATGCTCCGATAACGCTACTGTGGTGTCTTCACGGATCGCCCCAATCATTACCGGTGTTTGTATGCGAACAACCTCCAGATTGTCACGATCTATTCTTGAGCCAGTTGGTAACTTCTCTTTGATCTTCTTCACTCTACCAACTACAGCATATCGACAAAAGTTCTTCTTGTGAATCTGAAAAAAAATCTCTTGTTTAGAAAACTTATTTAACGGAAAATTCGAACAAATCAAGGATGTTGATAGCAAAAATAATGAGGAATCAAAAAAGATGCGCAGGAAGTATCTCGAACGAACCGGTGCAGCATCGCGATACGGAGTAGCCGTGACACTGAACCAGTCAGACACTTTAATATCATCTCCGTCCATTACTGGCGATAGCAAAACCCGTCCTAGGCCAGCATCCAGATAGGCAAAATTCGATTCTTCGTCCACCAACACAACAACGCCATCCACTTGGATCGTCTCTTGGTCACCTGCTCCCAACATTATCACACCTCGCAATTTATTCCAAGTTCCCTGAAAAACGTCATCTTTACAATCTTCATCACTGATGCATTCGACTGTAAACGGCAATGAAATTCCTGACTTCCTCAACTCAATTATGTTTTGCTTCTTTGACATTCCAGCCTGATATTCACTATTGAAACGTGTGATCAATCAAAATAATCAACACATCACAACATTTGAATTAATTCATTGCTGAGGGAGAGGTGTAATGATTATGCACATTAGGGATTTGGGAATCGTCGACCCCCGGTAACCGGGCAGTGCCAAGACTTGCATGGCCAGATCAAGACTTATCGGGCTGGTTCGAGAGACTAGCTCAGCCCGGCCAAGACTTGCCTTACCGGGTTTTAGCCTAACTTGGCCCGGCAAGTCTTGGCCTCTTGGTCCAACAATGGCCTGGGATCGGAATTAAAGTTAGTGACATCTGCGCATTTGAAGTGCGATCACGTTCAGAAAATTTGAGATACCCATTTTAGACCTTTCGATTCTACGCCTTTACCAGAGTGGAACTGTTATCTGTTTAATATTAAGCAATAATCCTTTACTATTACAGAGCACCTTATCTATCTGTCTTTATAGTGTTTTGGCACACGCGCATTGTCTGCATACGCCACCGTTATGTCTGTATGCAGGCAGAAAGAAATTTTCAAATTTGATTGAATTTCATTTTTTGAATTTTTTGACAGTGTTTTATTCTTTCGTTGGGGTCTAATTAGGCGATCTATTGGCGATTTATTCGTTAAGTTTTGGTCGATTGTTGGACTGAATGGTTTTATATTCGCTTATTTTCATTATCTTCTTATTGTTAGGCGTTTATCCGTCAATATGATTCGTTCATTTGATAAATTTTTATTTTAGTACGATTATGGAGTGTTTTCTTTTGATATTATGCGAAAGCTCGTGTTTTTCCAAATGTTCTCTTTGTTGCAGTTTTTACGCAGCCAGCAACTGAAGGCTGTACAAGCCAGTTTATGCGCCTGTGGACATGAGCTTTCAGAGCTCAGGTATCAAAGAAAATATCCAACTGTCACAAACCACTCTTGATAGTAAGTTTTGCACATTTCATTAATTAACTTTTTGTAAGTACAACAATTTCTATTTACGTGACAAAGTCAGTCTTTTGAACACATTTCGAATTGCTAATGAATATTTCATAAATGCCTGGCTTTCAAAAGTCTCGTCTTTTTGAATAAATCCTATTAATTTCATTGCGGTCAACAAATATTCCACAATAGATAGTTCATTTGAAAAATGCTACCAAAATACTATCCATATTGGAATGTTAAGAGATGAACGATGAAGATTTAAAAATTCGTCGGAAATTAATCCAGTTTAATAACGATGAATTGATTTTCAGCGGTGAAAGATCTGGCCGATTTGCTGCACGTCGATTTAACACCTGATCAGTTGCTAGTTTGTGTTGAGATTATTCGTCGTGGTGGTTCACCTGTCGGCTTACATCAGGCAATCAAACGATTTTCCAATCAGGTTTCTTGCAAAAATCACAGTCATTTACTGACGATCTTCGATTACCTATTCACTTTTGTTTCTTAATGAAAATTTGTATATTGCGGTATGAAAGATTGTTTCAAAAGCATCGAAAAATTGAAAATGATTCAATCGCTAAATTGAAAATGATTCAGTCGCTAAATTGAAAATGATTCATTTGTTTCAAGGGATCGGCCGCTCAACAACATCAAAATTAGCCATGTCAAACGATCGCAGTGCACCGTTTCGCCATCGTCGTATGTAAGATACTATATTTTGTGTTTTGTTGAAGAGATTTTTCGTATATTTTTTTACTATCAACGTATGTTTTTCATATTTCGATGTAATTTTAATTGTTTCAAGATCACCAATCCCGTTCCTGATGGATTCGTCTCCGAATGAATCTGGTCCAACATCTCCGCTAGAGCACGAGCCAACATTCGATCCAAGGCATTCATTACGCGCGGAATGGGATGCCGAAAGTGAAGTGATGAATGATATTATTGTTCCGCCAGAAATGGATCGTTTCATCAACATCAGCATTGAACATTCAAACTCAAGACCCTGGACAACGGTTCGTTTGTTGTCAATTCATATTATCGTCTTCTTATGATCGATTTATTGACGAGTTTGCAATTGATTTTACCCTAAACGTCTGCGTAAAATATTGTTGACAAATATCACCATATAAGCGTTTCGTGTTGCAGTTGACACACATATATCATATTTGGCATATATCATATGAGTTAATCGGTTCATCGTTCAGGGTGAGAGTTCAGTGGATAGTGACGAATGGCTTCAACGGGAAGCTCGAAATCCAGCCACATCAATTGGTGATCTTCAAACCACTACTACTGAACAAGTTTCTTCGACAAGTCGTTCAGGTTTTAATTGTCTTTCTTTCAGAGATTTATTATTATTTGAGAGCAATTTTACTAGATTTGAATACGATGCTTCATGATATTTTTGCGGACTATTTTTAAACGATGAAATCTTTTGTTAATGCGCTCTCTCTTATAAATTCTGTAACGTTCAGTGATGAGCATAAAGGTAATGAATTGATTTGAGTTGGGACGGGAGGAGGTGAATCGAGTACGGTTAGCGATACGGGTGCAACTGGAGGGTCACCTTCAAGTGAAGCGTTGTTACCGGGCAATGTGGACGATGGTGCTACAACGATGCCACCGATGTTGTCGGTGAACGACGAGAACGGAGACGATGAAACTCGGATTGAGGAGGGTGCGGATATAGTGATAGGAGGAGGTGATGCACAGCCGGATAATAATCCAAGTCATAGCACTAGCTTATCGTCGATACAGACGAACGATTTCGATGAGGAGGACGCAGATGTGGTCAGTGGAAATGTTTTATCTCTTGGGAAGTTTGATGAAACACATTTAGAAATATTCAAAAAAGTTCTTCAGTAAAGATTGCTTTCAAAATAAAGCAATCATCTTTTTCATCTCTTACAATCAACATTCAAAAGCAAATGTGAAGAACGTAACGTTGAGTCAATGTAAGTTAGATCAACCAGATTAAGAACATGACAAGTGCATTATGAGTATTTGCATTTGGCAGCGTTTTGGAATCGAGAAGATATTATGAAGCTGTTCAACGGTTTGTAATGTATCATTGCGCTTTTTAAAATGATTCGGTTGATGATTCGAATTGCGTGAAGTGAGGTTGATGAAAGTAAAAAGTGAGTAATGCGTGGGTATAATTTATAAGAATGGAATTGTAAAAGGGTTGTCTTCATAGGATACGGTTGTTGGAGAGGAGGTCATGCATACACCAACAAACCTGATGGCGATCAGTAACGATCACCATGAGAATGACAGACCTCGTTAGTTTTTGTTTTAATTGGTTTTGTTTTGTGTGTCTTCATGTATTTGTTGTTAGTCAAATTATTGTATCCATTAATGCAATTATTGTTAACGTTTTGGTGTTAATTATTGTCATTGGATTTAAAATTTTAATTTATTAATTTATTAGCATTACTAAATATTGTTGGTGTTTTTCATTGTGAGTTATTGCTGGCGTTGATTTTGAATTTGTGTGAATATTGTTCTCATTAATGTTTCATGTCGTCTCCGAAGTCACCTTCTACGTGAAGCAGACTCACCTCCATACTTGAGTCCAACGTTCTTTTCGTTGGTGTATGATAATGATGTTGATAACAATCACATACGGCCATCACCAACCCCATTGCGTAGGGTTCGGCTTGGTTTAGAGAATATCACTGAACGGGTTTGCTTTTATTTTTATTATTAAAGTTAATTTCATTATTATTTGTATATGTTTTGAGTATCGTTATTAACTTATCAGTGATATTGTTCTGAAAGGAGAGAAGAATGAATTTATTTCAAGTAAAATGAATGAAGAATTAATTATTCGATTTGAGGAGAACAGTTCGATAGATACCACTTCAGTAACGCCACGATCAAGAGAGCGCCTGCGTGCCACACACCGCAATCCATCATCATTCTCTGGCAACGATCAACCCCCTCCGCTAAAATTACCATCAAATACCCGTCTCAAACTCACAATCAAGAAATGGAATGTTAGTTGTCGAATTGTATCATTGCTAACAATTTCAGCTGTGAACGTTTGACTGTTTTCTTTGGGATTTTCATTACTTAGTTTTGACAAGTATGGAAAGAAGCATATTATATTTTGCGATATTGTTCGTGTTTTGATGTATCATTCGAGACAAATTCTAGATGGTTATTACAGAAGACGTAGGTAAGCGTAACTGAGCAAAAAAATCGTTATAAACTAAAATTGCGAGATGAAATGAAAGAGTAAAGTATTCGAAATATATATTTGTAATGGGATGGTCGGATGGGAAGTGTGTGGGTAATGTATTTCTGCGATAATATTATATTTGATGGAAGAGTTAATATTGGATTTAGGAAATGTTTTAATTGCATGATGAAAATGTTGTTTGAATTGAGGTTGCGGCAAGTTGGAAATGGACAGCAGGAGATGAGACTTGTGGTATTTGCAGAATGCCTTTCGAGGCATGCTGTATCGAGTGTAAAACGCCGGGCGATGAATGTCCATTGGTGAGTATTTCAAATCCGTTTGAATATTCTTTTGTGATCGAATGTTGATGGTTTTGGTTTAATTTCATTTCTATTATATATGCAGAGAATGTTCATGAAAGATTTATTTGCATTTAGGCGATTGGAAATTGTAAGCATGCGTTTCATATGCACTGCATTGTGAAATGGACCGAAACGCAGAATACACCCCGTCCACAGTGTCCACTGTGTCGACAGGAATGGAAGTTCGCTGCTGGATAGTGCAAATGAGATAAATATTATGAATCTGTGGAAAAGTGTAATGATATCATTATGACTGTATTGAGATGAACGTCTTTCTTTACGGATAGATTTTCGCTTCTGGAGAATGGTCATCGCAATGGTCTTTTCGTTATTATTATTTTTTTATTATAATTGTTGTTATTGTAATCGTTTCGTTAAATATGGTTGATGTTGTGTCTGATTTGATGTATCTGATATGTTTTTTAATTTTTGCTTTCGTTATTTATAGCTGCTACGAATCCAGAGAAATATTCTGCGTGGTTGCGTGTATGTTATTGTATGATTGTAACTGATAATTGTGATCGTTTACGTTGAAATCTGTGTATTTGGTTGTTGGTGAGGTAGTGTAAGAGATAAGAAATGGAGAATACTTGAATGAAAGGATTCATCTTTTGATTCGTTTCGTATGCAGCAATAATAATTAATAATGTCTTCATCCACATATAATCAGAGTTCATTCAGAACGATGAGAAGTGCAAAACAGTAAAAATTCGAGTAAATTAAAAGTAATGAAAATATTAATGGTAATAATGATGATCGCAACAGTAATAATAATAGTATCGCAATGAATATATTGTATTAATCGAATAGTACAGCTTGATTTTCTGATTTTTTTTTTGAACATGTCACTTGGTGTTGTTTCATGATTTGGGAGATAACTGTGTAGAATGACTTAGCGCGATATATTATGTGTGGCATTGCATAGGTGAAGGAATCGTTATTGTCAAATATCAAGAGATTTATAATCGAGTTGCTCTTTGATCTCGGGGAGTAGCCAATACGTTTCCATAACGCCTTTACCCTGTAATTGTAATATTTTCTTATTACTTCATTGTTATCCTTTTTATATTATTACCATTGTAATGTTTTTTTTGGAAATTTGAAAAATTCTTCTTCTTAAGAAAAGGAATGCTGTCTTTTGTATATTGATTACTGTAATCGTTTTTATTGCTTATCATTGTGATCGTAATGAAGTAATCAATGAAAAAGTTTTGTTTACTGCATCTGTGCAAAACAAGAAGCACGACCGAAAAAGAAGGCAGTCAATATATCCGTAAAGGAACTCATCAGAGGCTTCAGAAATTAATAGTTTCATTAATGAAAGGCACTATTACACTCTATTTCCCTCAATTAATGATATCAACGACTTAAAGTGATCTATTAGGAACGCGAAAATGTGAAAATAGTCAGCCATTTTATTCGAATAATTTTTGTTATGAAGAAATTATTCAAGAAAGCGATTTGTTCATCATCCAGAGTTTGATAATGACAATTTGATTTGTTCATATCATTATAAAGAGTTAATGAAAAGTGCGAAGTAGTTTAACTTCTGTTGTAAGAAATTTTTTGACACCTCACTTGGGTAAAACATCTCAAGTCAAAAAAACTCATGTCAAACATCAATCATTATATACGGATTTCAAAGACGTCCTCTCATTACTTCTTAAAAGGCGTCTGAAAAGTATCGCTCTCTACGAAGGTTTCAGGCATCATTGGGCTTCATCCTCCTGCTAAATAATAATTTTCTTTCGTAATCTGTTTTTTCTTTTCAGTAAGCACTCGATCTTTCAGGTTTCACACCTTCAATGCTAGATGATCAAGATAGAACATTTGAGATACCTTCATCTCATATTAATTTACCGCATGCAGAAAGTGATTCGCAAGGAACTGTCATTGAAATACATTACTATTAGATTGGCAATATCATTTTTTAGACTATCACAAGGCTAATCGGTTATTGGACAGGAATATCATGCAGAATATGATCGTCATATGTTAGCTGCAACTATAATCTGGCTTGATAACTTAAACTAACGTAAGTCTGCTATAGTCTAGAGCAGTAGTTCTCATAGAGGGTAATAATTACCCATTTTGGGTAATTTAGGGGTGTTGAGGTGGGAAATGGAGAGGGTCAGAAAATTCGTATTTCGTGCAGCTGTTGTTTCATGATAGAATGCCAGCGGTTAGTTGATGGCAACACTCTTCATTTTCCTATTTTCTGATTGTATCATTAGCTGGTCCCGGAACAACAGGGTTTTCATTCGTTTTAACAGGATTTTCATTCTTTTCCTTGCTGATACAATCGCTCTCATAGCTTTTATCACCAAAAGTATTCTCTTCTGCTAATTTCTCATTCATTTCACTCAACGATTAAAGTTAAATTCTCATTCTATCAAATACACTCTAT